CAAACTGGAGTAGTCAGCGTAGAAATTCAAGGCTCTGGTTACTGGGGCCGAATGCAGTTTTTATGAAGGATTTCAAAGATCCTCCATGGGCTCTGTGTTCTGAGTTATCATTAGCATTTGATAACATAAAGAATTTTTATAACATGTGACAGATTTCAATGTGAAGATTTTACCTGATAACTGGAAAATTTACATAAAGACCTTCATTAGCTCTCTGCTCACATTACTGCCAGCGTAAGAACTACGGCATGCTGTCTCCCTGCGAGATGGGGATGGGGAGCCAAAGAATTTGTGCTTTATAATAAAATTTATAGTACGTTACGAAGGGAGGTTATAATAATCCTCAGTGATGTTGGAAATTGGAGCAGTACAAAGAATGGAAGAGAGCATGAGAGGCGGTGGGAAGGGATGTTTCAGGACTGCCACATGGCAGAGGACAGAGAGCTGCAGTGATGGCAGCAAGGGTGGATGTGAAGCTTCCCATATGGGTGCTCACCAGCACAAACCACACAGAGCCACGGGCTGTGACCACCACTATTTCCCAGAGCCATCGCCCACTGCAGACCGCCTGGCTGCTTCTTGCAGATGTCTCATTTCCCGAGCATTTTGTATTTATTCTCCTTTTCAGTAAATAACTGAAAGTGCCCACCAGCACGGTGCCATTTTGATCGCAAACTTGCCTGAGCAGAAGGTCAAAATTACAGCTTATGCATGCAGAGGAAGGGAGGACATGGGCAGACCTTAACAAATTCAGATTAACCTTCTTTCAGATGGCTTCTTCACAGTGTTTTGATGGACCAGTTCCTGAATTTCCTCTCTGGCCAACAAGACTCCCCAGCAACTTCAACTTTAGCTAAGACAAGACACCCAACTTTTACTGCAGGAGAAGCCAAGTAATCTCCAGATGAGACCTGACTCCTCAGGTCTCCAACTGTACCATCAAAGTCACAGAACTTATTTTACAGGCCTCATACAGTCCCGTTGCATTGGGAAAGACCATGCTGTGTTTTCAGAGTTCTCTTTGGAAAGAGATCTCCATTTCTCCCAGTTTTTCAGGCTCAGTGCTTGGAGAAGCCAAAAAGCAACCTTAGATCAATGATCAAACTTCCATAGTAGATGGCTTTTATTTTTACAAAATATTTGCTTCCAGCAGAGTGTATCTTAATTTACAAATGCAGAAATCTGTCATTAAGCTTTGACCCAGCTTCATGGCATTGTCAAATGCAATAACGTATCTTTTAATAGTTTTATATCAAGTAAGGATATAACATATCATTAGTTTAAATGTATTTGCAAGCAATTACCCCCACCAGGATATTTGTGAATACTCATGCAAAATTGATGAAATTCTGACATGCTTAAACATTGTTCATTTAGCTCTATTCCTTATGTATAGAAAAAATAGAATAAATAATTCCACTGCCACTTGCAAACTACTGTTCAGCATTTTCATTCTGCTCATGGTTTCTGTCCTGCCTTTAAACTATAGCCTTTGGTGATCATTTGGAAATACAGTTTCATATATGTTTAATTTTAAATAGATGTACTAGATTATTCATTCCTCTTATTATTGTTCAATGCAGTAATTTAAACACGGACTAGATTTACTGCATGTCAGCTGCCTTTCTTTTACGAAATGGGATAAATTATTAAATGAGTAGAGGTTGTTTGACAACGGGTTTTCCAGTACTTCACAAAAGAAAGACCTTTGACATTCAGCTGTCTTTTGAAAAGAATAAAGAGTAAATCAATTAAGTCTCTATGCTGCAGTTCAAAAACACACTGTTATGGCACATTCTTGCTTACCTCCAAGTTGACTTTGGAAGACTCATCCAGTGCAGCAGTACCACTAGGGAAATTATTGATTTAATTGTCAGGTTGCCCAGCAAGCAGCACCCTGGCCCAGCTCCCTTAAATACAGCCATTTCTACAAATCCTCCACTCCATCTTCAAGCTACAAAAAGCATCAACATCAACTTCCAGTAATATCTGACACCACGCTGGAAGATTTTTTTTTAAAGTACTTATTTATGGTTGCATCCAGCAGAGGCTCAGACTTTCCAAGGAGAAATATCTTAATTGCCATCTGTTGAGAACGTTTTGTGTTTCTGAGCTTCCATGTGAGAAGATTTTCAAGAAAGAGGAGAGGACATCAGGTGTAAGACATCGCAAGCTCAGATCCAACTTGGATACCAAGATCTTCCCTTCCAAAGAAAGTCACGAGTTGATGGGAAGCTGCACTGGCAGAGCCCGTAAACACGCCTTTTCTTTATCATTTGTGTGGCCTTCACTAATTGCAGTATTTAGCACAAAGTTTGCAAAGCACTCAAGGTGCTTTGGAAGGAAAGGTATAGGCTTAAGATATTAGGTCTGTGAAATGGCATAATTTAATCTAAAGCTGTAACCCAAACAGAACCTAATTAAAATATAGAGAATTTAAAAAAATAAAGTCAATGCAATCAAAACAAAATCTAACTACCATCTTGTTTTCCTTACCTGCCTTACACAGCAACGCGACAGCACCAACACTCAATCATCAGCCATCTAAACTCAGCAGTGCCAAGGGAAGGATGTGAGCATTCACCATGGAATCTGAAGTTTGCAACCCAGCCTTGGCATGGTGAGAATTTACATATTGCTGCTGATTTCTTTTGGCTCTGCAGAAATCAAAAATGAAGGTTTTTGCTCTGTCAGAATTCAGATTTCTTTGATATCAGGAAGTGTTCTAGATCACACTTCACAGTTTTTGCTCATGTTTTTCAATACCCAAGCAACACAAACATTGTGTAGTGTTCTGGCCAACCCAGGGCATAGAGGGAAATCTCTGAAATCACATCCAGAAGCACATGATTTAGCTTTGGAGTCTCCACCTGTGAAGGATGTTACTGCTGTCATTACATTGGAGCTTTGTTCACTTTCAGCATCCCCAGTCATGGGACTTATGTTGGTTCCCAGGGGAGCTTGCTTCTTCCTGGAAGCTTTTTATGCTGTTCACTCCCAGGTTGCTAGTCCTCAGCCTTCTCTGCAAGAGTTCTGCAAGCAGCACGATAGCTCACAGGAGGTCTGCGGGCCTGAGGACTCCTCCACATACCCATCTGTGAGGTGTCAGGGCTGTGGCTGCCACCATGTTAGACAAAGATGCATGCATCTTCAAGACAGATATTATTTAAAATTATATATACGTATATAAAGTTACCTCTTCTCATAAATCATTACCATGCTGCAGTCTTTTGCCTTGTAGCAGAAAAATGAAAGCAGCAAATGTAGGGTTTGCAGATGAGCATTTTAGGGATGAGAACGAGGAAAGCAGCTCACCAGGATTTTGCAAACTCTCCAGTACCACTTTAAAGTATTGCTTGCAGAGAAGAGGTTAAATGAGGTTTAAGTGCAATGTAATAAACCTTCACTGTTCATAAAGTCGCGTGATAAATGCGCGTGCTGTTGCTCCGGATAAGAACACCAGGGTCGGAAGGCGAAGAGGGGAGGCAACGGCCCTGGGGAGATGCTCCAGCCCACCCATGTAGTACTGGGTAACTCCTCATCCACTGCAGATGCACTGCTTGCTCAAAACAGGGGAATTCTGACATTTGCAGTTTGCACAATGTGACTGCCCCCTGCGTGCATCCCTCGCATGCTTAGTCCTGTTGGAAAAGGGGAGCAAAGGCAGTTTGGGCACTTGTTTGGGAACAGGGCTTGTGGGACCCTAAAAGTGAAGGACAATTGCAGGGGCTGGAGCCAATCCTGCCGTGGGCAGGAAGCATCTCAACACAGCAGAGGGTCCTAGATTGCAAATGCACCCTCTAACTGCACTTGCAGGGGAGCAGAATGGAGCATCAATTATTATTGCTATTTTAAAACGAAACTCTGATTGCTAGGGGCATCCCAATTTTATTGAGCTCATTTTGTTTTCCCAATGTTTATTTGAATAATATGTCCTCCTTTTGCAATAAAAGATGCCATATATCCCATTGCCACAAGTAGCAGTTTATATAAGCATAGCATTGTCCTGATGAGTTCAGAGACGAGCCCATTTGTTTATAGAATTTATCCCAAATTTGTAAGATTTGTGATTTAGAAAATGAACCGAAAATGAAACCATCTTTATTCCTTTAGACCAGATATCAGGAAGAAATTCTTTACTGTGAGGGTGTTGAGACACTGGAACAGGATACCCAGCGAGGCTGTGGATGCCCTCTCTCTGGAAGCATTCAAGGCCAGGCTGGATGGGGCTGTGAGCAACCTGTTCTCGAAGGAGGTGTCCCTGCCTATAGCAGGGGGTTGGAACTAGATGATCTTAAAAGTCCCTTCCAATCCAAACTGTTCTATGATTCTATGATTTTGTGTGGTGAGGAACTCTAGTTCTTGCAGATTTGATTCATGAGGTATGGAAGTGGTCAAAGGATAATAAACCTGTTTTTTTTTTTGTTGTTGTTGTTTTAAAAAGAAGTAAAAAGAGCAATAATAAAGCATAAACTTTCAGTGTCTCCTTCCTTTGAGCCCTCAGAAGCAGGGCAAATTTAGCCCTGATGTGGGCTAAAAAGCAACGCCAAGCTGCTTGAAACCCCACCTTACCAACTTTTGAAGAGCATTAGTCTGCTTCTGAGAGTGCTGCATGTGATGCTGGTGCAGGGAGGGCCTTGGGAAGAGCAGGACCCGGACTTTGCTCTTTGCCCAGGGTGGGCAAAGGTAGGTATCCTGCTGATGTATGGGACAAGAGGGGACAACCAGTTAAAGGTCCTCTCTCTCATCCTCTGCAGCACAGGGATACAAAGGAGACTTTGTGGAGACTTAAAAATACACTGAAATCTGATGAAGAGTGGAGTAAATGGGGGAAGGATTTCACTCCTTGGTGATGAGTGAAGCGCAGATGCTCCAGCTGGTGAGAAGGAAAAGGAGTTTCCCCTGTGAGACATCTAACAATAAGGACTTTACATCAGCAGCACATCAAGAAACAACATTACCCTAAGTGCCTTAAAATAATGAAGGAAACAAAAAAAGTCCTTTTAAGAGGTTTCTTCACAAGCTGTATCCTTCAAAACCAAATGTATACAGAGGCCATGCAAATTGCTGTGGCATCCACTGAGTATGAAGAACCATGGTGGGAAAGACCAGGGGTTTTTCATGAGGGGATTATTTTCCCTTCCCTGTGCTGCAGGATGCCCATGGCAGGCAAGTCATAAACCATGTGCTCCGTGTGAGTGCTGGCAAATGTTCAGCTGCAAGTGGGGCATTGCACAGGCAAGGTGCTTGTTAGTGTAAGAGCCCCTCCATAGATTGTTTGGTTGTTTGTTTTTTTTTTTTAAACAATAATTTCCTTCAAATTGGATTGTCGTCATGATCAGAGAGCCATTTACTGGAAGCAATTGCTAATTACACATGTCCCCTGTAGGGAGGATGTACAGCAAAATGAGCATTTTGGAGGGAATTTCTTGTGTTCCCTACAATTTCACCCATGGACATTTTCCAGCAGGGCAAACTCTGAAGTTCCTCTCCATTTGACTTCAGCAAGAGCATTGGCTCAGCACAGCCCTGTGAGAATCCGCTGTGTATGTTTTGGTCAATTACAAAACAAAACATGAAAACAGACACTCTTTGAATCACTCTGAGAATCCCATAGGACACCTCGTTCCTCCTGCCGACAATTGAAGTATTTCCTCTCAGCCTGTTCCCACCTCAGCATTCACCAGTCAACCTGGCAAGGCTTCCCTTCATCTCTCAGGAGTCCTTTGCATCACTGTAAGTTTTGCTTTGCTCAGTTTCATCCTTCCACTTCAAATACCCCAAGGTAAATCCTCTTATACATGCGTATAGGGCATGTATTTGTGATGTGCTGCTGTAGCCATGCTGTCCCTCACCCTTGGCAGACTCAGGGCCGGGTAAGACAAGGCACTGCTTTCGGCTGAGCTCTGCACCTCTGCCCTGGCACAACTCAGCCCAGCTCCAGATGGGAAGGTGCCCAGAGCACCACGTGTTCTCTAACGCCTACAGGACTGCAGCACCAGCATGTCCACATTTCAGGATAGAAAGGACATTAGAAAGAGTGTTGTCCACCAGCATTCACAGTTCTACATTTCAGGTATGTTGCTTCATCTGCAGGCACGTGAAAATAATTGCTAGAGAAATATCCTCTCACTTCTTTCACTAAGTTCACAGGAAATCCACAGAATGAAATGTTTAGAAGGCACAAACCTAAAGACAACGAGTGTCTCCTCCTCCAGATGGGACAAAGCAAAACACATCATCCTGATGACTACAGCACTGTGCTCCAGGACTTGCAGGAGAGGAGGAACTTGGTGCAGGGAACAATCCCATCTGGACAGAACTTGATTCAGAGAAAAATTGAACCAGAGTGATGCAGTGAGAATAAATTCTGAAGTTGAATTTCATTGGAACAGCGAGTCAATTATTCACTGCAAAAGAAAAAGTTGTTCTGAACTGTTACTTTACATTATATTCCTAATTATAAGAAGAAGGAAACACATAATTGGAATGAAACCTTTTGATTTATTGAACCAGAACACTTTGACTAATTCAAAATAGCATGTCCTAGAAATGTGTTTTTCACAGGCAATTTCAACTTGGTGCTTTTATTTCAATTCAGAACAAATCTCTGCGATTTGAAGTCACAGATTTCCCAGTTAAATAGAAAGATGATTTATGAGAAAAGCAAGAAGCTCACACAACACTGATGGTGATCGTAGACGAACTCCCTCCTCTGGTAACTTCTGAGTAGCTTTAGGACCTCTGAATAGACAAAGCACAGAACGCAGGAAGAAGCAGGATATTAGTGAATATGCAGAAGTCAGAGAGGAAATACGGTGCTCTTCCTCAGTAGAGATATATCATCAGCTGTGCGTATAGGGATGCATAGCAACACCTGAGGAAATTGGGTGAGACTCTAACTTCATTTAATTTGGCTGTCAAAGCACACCTCATTGATCAAGGCATCCCTCATTGATCCCACCACTAGACTGAGGCACAGCTCTGCTACAGAGATCTCAAAGCAGAAGTCCTGCAGCCAAACTTGGATGGTCACCACCAGCCATGCCATAGAGCTCTGCTGTGGGACACAGAGGGTGACACTGACCTCTGAAGAGCAAACACTAATCAGAACCCTCCCTAGCCTGTCTCCAGAGCCTTGCTGAGCCAACCATGCAAATGCATGGGCCCCATGGGTGAACCCAAGCTACAGGAGGTAAACCCATGGGCAGCTTCCACCTTGCAGGCCAGAATTCAAGCCTTGGTTCTGCTGCAGAAACAGACGAGTTATTCCAGGGCTTTCTGGGCTCCTCCCTACGCTTCCAAACTCCATTCCCACTGCACAGCACAGAGCTGGGGAGGTGATGCATTTCCATCCCTCTCATTGTTTGTACTGAAAGGGAAAACATGACCAGGCTATCGAGTGGTTAACTACACAACTGCTACCTAATGATCCTAATTTGCATGATTTTAATAATTATGAGTAAAACCAAACTGTTAAGTTGCACTTTCTGCTTCAGCAAAACTGAGCTATAATTGTGTAGAGAATAATTTTATGGGTGAAGTGTGCCCTATATTATAAGAGATTAGAATAAAGTGCTCTAATATTCAATGTCTTAGCAGGTGCAGGCACTTACCTGGGCAATTAAAATCTTTTTAATATACAAATCACAGCCATTGAGACTGTTGGCATGACAAACTGGATCTTTCCGAACATATTGTGTTTGTCTAAAATAGATTTTTGTTTGCTAGCAATAATTTCTCTAACTTCTGTTTGAAAGAGGAAATGAGTGATGCGGACTAATATGCAGAAGATTCTTCAAATGCCTGTATTATATCACTGCTGTAAAAGTATCTACGTGTTCCTTTCTATGTGTAATACATGCCCTTTGATTAATATATCCTTTTATAAACGTACCACATAGAACAATTGACCTATTTTATTCTTATATTTGCTGGGGAGTACTGGGCTGGGGTGAATAGAATTTGGCCTTGAATTAACAAGGAGATCATGAAAAGCATATGAAATTTTCTTTAATTGATTGATTCATTAAGTTCATTAAATGCCCTCCTTTGTGCTCAGAGTATTCTGTAAGTGTGGGAAGGTAAAATAGGTGCTATGTCTCCTGTGAAATTCATAGGAAAATATTTTGCAGTTATCTCTGAGCAAGAAGAAAAAAGAAAACAGGACTCTGCCAACACCCAGACCTGCACATAGAGGTATGCAATATTACAGTTTGACATCTTTCCTTCCATTTGAAATGCCATGATTTTGAACCTCAACACCTGAAATTTTAAAAAGAGTGAAAGCAGAGACACATGGAGTACCACCTATGCCCCCAGGTCTCCCTCACACCCAGAAAATCACTTCCCAGAGCTCGATGCTCCAAACATAGACCTCTCTTCAGGCAGAGCAAGCACTGTTGGCAGCCTCCCCATACCTGGGCATCACCCCCAGACAGCAGCTGCCTCCAGGGAAAGGCATAGTGGGATGTGCTGCATCGTTTGAGTCTGCATCTGCAGCCATGGGGATGTACCAGCCCCATTCTGGCTGCACCAGGGAGTATTTTGCCTTCCCAGGGGAGCTGGTGGTTTCTACACAGCTCCGTGTAGAAATGGGCTGCAAATTCTCTGTGCTCAGGGCATCATCTGGCCATCCCAAGGACTCTGTGAGTCCAGGCTTCTCACATCACTGTCCCTGGAGCTGTTCAAGAACCATGAAGATGTGGCACCAAAGGATATGATTTAGTGGGCATGGTGGGAACAAGCTGATGGTTAGTATTGATGATCTTAGTATTTTTCCAACCTTAATGATTCTATTCCTCTGCTTTAAGCTTGCTCTTGATTAGTCACAAACATGGGAAAGTTACCAAGTTACCTTAAGTAAAGTTACCAAGTGCCTTAAGTAAAAGCAAAGTGCCTTAAGTAAAAGCAAAATAATAATAACATGACTTCCAGCCTCTCTGCTTCTGCTGTAGAAGCAATTTAAAACTGAGCTTTGATTCATACTTAAGCTCCTCCTTAGGTCCTTCAACATCCAGACACACTGACATGCCTAGGACCAATACTTTTCTTCACCATTTCCAAGTTTGCTGGAAATCACTGCTCTGCAGCTGCTTTATATATATTTTTGCATCCTCATTTCTCAGCCAGAAGACTTTCACTATAAACTCACTAGTTAATTATTCGGATATTTGTGCTCAAGTCAGCAGACAATTAAGTCTATGCCTAGTATTGCACATGTGGTATGGCTGCTGGGGACCATGTAAAGATAAGCATGTTCCTATGCACTGTGCTGAATTACCTGCAGAAGCTGTCCTTAAACAAGCTGCTTTTATGCAAGTGCAGAATTGCCTTTGGATAGGAAAGCAGAGAACAGGCAAGTATTTACCAGGTTGCTTAAACACCCCGTGAAAGGAATATATTATTTTTAACAAAAATACTCAGTATTTGGCTGAGATACCTGGAATAACAATGGAATGGAACAATAAACAAGAAGTATTTTTGTAACTTAGTTTGCTGAAACTGTTTGAATCTCAGTTTCACCTCCAGCACTGGCACATCACTGCCTCCTTCCATGGCATGAGCACAGAGTGCTAAGTGCTGCAAGGCACAGGGCTAGCATAGCTTCTCCAGCATGCTGCCCTACAGGAAAGACATTTGCAGAAGGAACCAGCAGCCAAACATAGCAGCACAAAGGCACGCCATACTACCAAGTGCTGAATCACAGAATTACAGGGGTTGGAAGGGACCTCAAGAGATCCTCGAGTCCATCTTCCTGTTAAAGCATATACTCTACAGTAGACTGCACAGATAGGCATCCAGATAGATCTTAAATATCTCCATAGAAGGAGACACTAAAACGTCTCTGGGCAACCTTTTCCACTGCTCTGTCACCCTTACAGTAAAGAAGCGCTTCCAAACTTTTGTATGGAACTTCCTACTGTAATGCAATAGAAAGCACAATGAAAACAGAGCAGTAAATGCAGCAAGTGAGGATTTGCTCAAATGCAACAGCTGTGGGCACAGAAATAAAGGAAAAAAGCTGCTTACCTTCAGAAGGCCTCAGGTGTGCAGGGATCTCCAGATGAGGTACCCTTGCCTCTACTGCCAGCCCTTACATGAGGTCTGGGAAGGGGTGCATACTGGCTCCATCCCTTCCAGTCAGTTTGGGACATTGCATGCACCTGAGCTTCCCTGAGTTGGCCCTGCCTTTCCACCAGGTGTTCAATCATTGTTTCAAGCTGTGACTTAGCATTTCTGTTACACCTATATTCAAGTTTTAGGCAACTGTTCCTTCTCCTCTCACTATGCACCCCTGAGAAGAACCTGCCCTAATCCATTTGCCTCCCGCCTCTCTTTGGATATTGATATACATCAATCAGTTCCCTCCTCAGTCTTCTTTCCTCCAGGCTGAACAGACCCAGGCTACTCAGCCATTCCTGAATGACACAAAGCAAGAGTGGAAGCAAACCGGAAGAATATCACATTTCCAACCGCAACGTAGGCATTTCTGCGCGATACTCAGAAGCGTTCTGAGCTCTGTTCCCCAGCACCATTACCTGACACACACCTTCCCCACGCGGCCCCGCTGTCGGGCAGGGTAGCAGAAACGTTCTTCTGGACTAGGAGGCAATGCTCTCATGGACTAGGAGCTGCTCTGGAGGAGACTCGTGGAGCAGGGCGCCTGTAGAGCCCTGTGGCCAGGCAGCACAGGGTGGGTCCTGCTGCCCTGCCGGGGGGCTCCGGCAGCAGCTTGAGGCAACCCCCACCTCCACCACCCGCCGGCTGCCTGACCTCGCGGCGCTGGTGATGCATTGTCCCGTCACCCTTGCCGTTTACAGCAAAAAAGCTATTTAGCCGGTGCCTGCAACCCTTCAGCTCACAGTGCCTTGACAGCAGAGGTTATAGGAAAAAAAAAAAAAAAAGAGAGGGAGAGAAAGAAAGAACAATGTGCAATCGGCACTGCATTAGAGATGGAAAAAGTACTTAAAGCCTGCAACATTCATCAAGGCTGAATACATAAATGCCACATTTTGAATAAGCCAAGCAAAAGACAATGACAAAGGAAAGGCGCGTTGCTTCAGGAATCTCTATCATTTTCATTTGCTGCTGTCAGGAACCTGTTTTTTGCCTCTCACTCTATCAGCCATTATAGCATTAATGAAGTAACCTCACATAGTTATTGACTGGCTTGTCAGAGTCCCTGCCTGATCCCTTAATAGAAACCATTGGTCTTCAGTTAAAAATGGGGTGAGCTGGGAGGTGCTGTGGGCATGTGCTGAATTTCAAGTGCACTCCTGAGGTTATCAAAAGCCATGAAATGCAAATTATTATATTTTTTAAACACACAGATTTCATGCAACTGAGCATATAAAATTGACTAATACTGTACTTTATGCATTCCTAATAATGTTTCCAAATATGCTCTGCATATGATCTTTCCCCAGAAAGTTGTGGGTGGTATTTGAATAAGCAGAATGGGCCTAGTTTTATTTCATGAATAAAGTAGTTTCCTGAATGTTGCAAGTCTCCGTTCCTTCTAATAGAAAGTAATGTTTATGCACTGTCTGTTCAAACAACACGGGTAATCCTTTGTCTGAATTTCTGTCTCAGATCAAAATCATTTTTCCTTCATCTTTTTTTTTTTCCTCCTTTCATAAAATATCCTAAGCTCCGGAACTAGTACATTCTCAGTTACTACAAACTGAGGGCTGGCAGAGGGTCCAGAAATATCTTCTCACAAAAGTAACAAACCCAGTGTGTAATCTGAAGTGTTGAGCTGCTGTTCCAGCACCCCTAAGCCACAGCATGCAGGATGCAGGAAGAAGCTGGCTGCAGGGTGCCCACGCGTGTACAATGCAGAGACGCTTTTGCACATCTGCTGGCTGAGGGTGAGGCAGGTGAGGGGTTTTCCAGCATTGTGTTTGGTACAGGGAGAAGCTGTGGGTGGCTCTGAAGAGGAGAGATCCTTCTCTGATGGTTTCTGCTATGGCTCTTAGCATCCCATTCCTGAGCAGCACTGAGCATCTCCACGTGCGTTGTTCCCAAATCCCGTGTCGCTGCTTGGCTAGCTCAGGCAGCTTGCTGAAGTCAACCCTTACCTACAGGTGAGGCTTTAAAGCTTTTCATCCACACAGATGGCCCTAGTGATCATACTGCTCCCTTATCTTCCTATTCAGTAAGGTCTCAGAAGTTCAGCGTTGCGGCTGATTCGGAACACAGCAATGAGACGTCTCACGTCTCATCCAGTGTAGACAACAGTGGGAGAAAGAGCTGCTCAGCCAAAACTTATGTGAGATTGCTTAGACCTCCTGGGTACAGAAAACTGGGTTGGTGCTCTCTGAAGAACAGGCTCCCTTAATAATTGCAGTCTTTTCTTTTTTCTGATTGGGATAAAAATTCTCCAGGAAAACTCTCATGGCACTTCCACATCCCTGGTCTGAAATTAAGTGCATTTTTCCTAATGAATACTCTATTTGTTGATTTAGTCACACTTTTTATGAGTCTGAAACACCATGAGATTCCCAGTTTTTTTCCTGTTCTCATCAGTTGGACTCAGGCTGTTTCCCTCCCCAAAATTGTACTCTGCCTAATAACAGTTGAAGCACCTTCACTTTAACTAGTTTCCAAACATGTTCTTGACCCCATGCTGCAGGACAGAAGTGGCCACACACCGTGCACTGACCAAGTCACACGAGCAGCAGTGAAGTGGCACATCCCAGCCATGCTCTCACCTCACCATTGCCATCACCTGTATGTGCTCATGTTCTCCCTGGGCACTGCTTTCGAAGGTGCAGCAACAGCACATTCCCAAGAACCAATGCTGGGCCGTGGGGCTCCTGCAAAGCATTTTGGTTCAGCACGGTGGGCAGGATGCACAACAGAGACAGCATGGCTGCAGTCTACTGGGGTCTGTAGCAGGTGAATCTTCCTCCTCAGGAACATCAGGTGCTGCTGTGATCATTTCTCTTGCGGGTGTTTATCCTGGGTTCTCCCAGAGCTCAGCAATCTGGATGCTCCTTGACAAAAACCAAATCCAGACTGTCATCGTCACGCAGTGCAAACTCATCCTGGCTGAAAATAAACAGGTTTGTTCCCTATACATAGGGAAAAAAGCTAGCAACATAACACCACTTTTCAGAAGATTCAGGGGTCACGGCCAACTGATTGTGACCACCAGCCCTGTACTTCCCACCAAAGCTGAGAAAAAAATCAGTGCTCATACTGTGGCCCAGTGCAAAGCCCCAACTGGCAGGAAGCAGTTCTTGTGGCTGCTCAGATCCACGCTCCAGTGACTTCATGTCACGACGTGGCAGGAACGCAGTCAGGTACAGGGTGTGCAGCACAGACCCCAGAGAACTCCCCATGGAGCAGCGAGCAGCCTGCGAAGGGCACTGCTGCCTGGAGCCTGCCCACCGAGAGGTTCTAATTGTACATAATGATTACCTACAGGAATTGAACAATCACAAGCGAGTTTTGGTTTTCCTGCTGATTAGTATTGCTGTCACAGAATTGTTAATAATTCTTAGTCTCCTGTCTGAGGAGCAGCAGAGGTGTTGAGACCCCCAAGAAGATGCAGCTCCTAACACATGGCTCTTGCGCTGTGCTTCCCAGCTTTGCCTTTATTGCAAACGCACCTCTGCTAATGCCTGTCCAGGTCAAAGCCCAGAAATCCCTCCCAACTGATTGAAAGAAGCTGTGCTTTCTTTGAACACCCCAGTCCTAGACCAAAGGCAATCATTTGGGGACATGCTCTGCTCTCCCAGGAGCAGCATGCCTGGTGTTTGTGCTGCAGCTGCCGCTGCAGGCAGTGTGCGGTGAGCACTGCTGCATTGAATGGAGAACTGAGATCATCCTTAAAGGTTGCTAAATATCAGATTTGTGATTGCTGTATGCAAACAGGCCTGCTATTTTGTGTGTTTTGTTGAGTGCAGTATATTTGGCATGCAAAAGAAGTGTCTTTGGGGATTTCTGTTAAATAAGCAGTCTGGACGCATTGTGAGCAGCAAAGCAATTAGCATTCACCCAGCCCAGCAGGGCAGCAATTTAAACTTTTACAGGGAGTCAGAGTTCAGGATGCTGCCCTGCCATCAACTTTCCACATACAGAAGGGAAACAGACTGGAATATCCAAATGTTTCAAGCTACACTGGGTTAAGTGAAACTCCAACAGACACATTACTGTGAGGATACTGCTTAATCCGCCTCAGGATTTACTGCTGTTCTATGCTAGGTGTGGAGGTCTTGGGTCAGAAAGGGCTGCGCTCAGTGCAACTATTTCATACTACATTAAAAAGTTTCTGACCATACCTGTAATCCTCAGAATCGTTATGCAGAAGCACATACAAACACTGCACACAGATGGAGCTGCGTTGCATCCTGCTCACAGCAATCCCGTGGCGGCACAGGGAGGAGGGAGGCAAAGTGCTCTGCTGCAGGAAACAGCAAGTTTGTGTTGAACAAAGCAAACAAATAGAGAAGTCAAAAGGGAAAAAAAAAAAAAAAAAAAAAAAAAAGTCCAACTGTATTGGATTAAGTGCATGGTTTTTTTCACCCATTAGGCAGTCCTCTTTACAAATATATGATGTGAGCACTGATTAGCACTCAGAGAGTGGAGTATGTTGGGGTGGATGTCTGGGCTCCTTGTACTGCTTCTGCTAATCCCCCACTCCCCAGGCACAGCCCCTCCTGGGACTGTCAGGAGGGACAGGGCTGCTGCCACTGTGGAAAGAAATGCTTTGCCCCACGTCGTGTAATCCTTTGGGGTTTTCAGCAAGGAACCAGCAACACATGTTTATTTCCTTGCTCCCCCACCCCAGGCTGTCACTAACAGAAGAAGGCACAGCTAACTAGGAAGAAGAGATAAGAAGGAAACGTGTAGCAGCGCATCAGTGAGTAACGATTCACACCCAGTAACAGCAAAACAACCTGACAAGGAAGGAACTCTGGGTACCGCAGAGCTAAATATACTTTATTAACAAAAAGGAAAGGGAGGTATCAAAACATCATCTTGTTGCCTGGGTAAGTACTGTCATTGTTCTGCTGGCTTTTCTGAGTCAAAAGTGCTGGAAGATTGATCGAGTTTTGGTGGGCTCTTCTTGCTTCAGATAAATACATTCCAAAACAAAAGGCAAAAGCAGCCTAGGAAGCACAAGGAAGCAGCATACCAAATTGCAGGTTCCTTGCAGCTTGTGCATTACCCACCTTTATGGGGGCATCACATTATAAGACAACACAAGTGTGTTTCTTGCAATATGAGTGTGGTCTGTGAAGTGCTTGCAGTGCAGTATGTACCAAGAAAGCAAGTGCTGAATGCACAGCTCAGCCCCTTTCCCTCTGCTTTCATGGCTCTCCCCACATCCCATCTCCATCACGCACGGAGATGAACTCTTAGTCCTAAGTTTTCTTTTTCTGCCACAAGTATATTTTCTAATAGAAAAAAAAAAGAGGCAACTTGTTTTAATGTCGGTGGCTTTAGTTAAGCACAGTTTGTTAGAACAGTTCCCATGTCTGTGTGTTATTTATTAAAGAAAGGTGGGTTATTTTCCAAGGTGGGAGTGGACACCTACAGCTGCAGCTTCATGGAGTAAATCACATTGCCTTGCTTTAGGACATGGGCAGGTTACCAACAGGGTCAGGAAAAGTATTTCTTTTACTGATAGAGTATTGCATGATGATATCTGGGACAGTTTAAGCCTTCCTGGCAGCAGTGGTTGTTTCTGGTCACCATTTAAGGATGAGATTGCTTTGTTCTAGGAATTCTCATCTGGCACCTCAGGTGTGGGAGCACTGCAACATCACAGCCAGGCACAGGAGCGGAGCAGGGACACAATTGTCCTTCCTGCCTTCAGCACAGGGGAGCTGCCCAGCACAGAAGGGCAAGTCCTACTGCTAGGGACCCCAGAAATAAGGCATGTGTGAGCACCTCGCATTTGGGGGGAGCTCCCTACACACTGCAGGCACCTCCATTTCCAAGAGCACCAACTGCAGACCTGTCTCAGGGCGGCACTCTCAGGCAGGGGACCATTAAACACCAGCTCCAGAGCAGGAGTCTGTACAGCCAGTGAGGGGCCCATAAAGCCATTCTAAGTCGTATTTTTGCTTTTTTTAATTAAAAAAGCTTTAACTTTCCCCTCACCACTTCTGGACTGATCCAGAGAGGTAGTTATGCATAAGAGTAACCATTTTATATTGAATTTCTCATGCAACACAACTCACCAATTACAAGGCAGGGATGCAATTCTATGATTTATAATACATTATACAGTTAAGTAATATAACATTATAGATACAATTTGTACCCATCTCTCCATGGATTAGAGAGGTGGCACACGAAGAGTGGATCATTAAACAGCAGTGCAAGGCCAGGGGCCAAGCACTTCTGTTTAACAAGCTGCTCCAAGTACCACCTCTCTAATCCATGGAGAGACAGAATAAATTGTTCCTGTATCTTGTTATAAATCATGTTCTTTTGGGTTTTCTCTCTTTTTTTTTTAATTAAAAAATAATAATAATAATGATTCCTGCTTAGGGTCATCTATTCTGGGGGCTTAAGCTTAAGCTGAAGGGGCTTTTGTTCTGGAAAGACCTGAAACCTGACCCTGTAATTTACTATCTATCCAAATCTGGGGGCAAGGGACCATGAGCAGCAAGAGCAGGCTGGCAGCTTGCAGCTTTGGGAAGAAGGTGTTGCACAGTGTCCTGAGAGCAACCAGTGGCCCATTGGTACCCAGCTTGCATGGCAAACCCCACTGCAAGCAGAGTCACACTGTGGCACTGCCTTCATGGGTGGTGATGTCATGCAGGTACAAGAGATGCTCCTCGAGGCTGAATCATCTTTCTGCAGTTCCACATGAATGATACAACGCAGCCATGGACAAGAAAGGTGAGGCTGGTGCAACAGTACGCGTGTACTTCAGTGCAAGGTGCGCTCTGCAAGGCAGCTGAAGGTGAGTAACTTCAGTGCTCATACGAGGGCACCATGCCAACTGCATTGCAACCCCCTCATCTATGACAACAACACCTGGTAACGGTACACAGGCACTCCCCTGAGGAGAGGAGCACCAAGAAGGAGGAGTGAAACGCCAAGAAAGGGGCTGCAGATAGGACCGTTAGGCTGCCTTATAGCCCCTAACTCCTCACGTGACAAGTCATTGATTTATATCGACGCTTTCATTGTAATGTCACAATGTAACCCAAATTCATCTTTCATCCACTTCAAAAGTAAACAATGGCCTTGGAATAGAAAAAGAATAAAGCTTAAAAAAAAAAAGTAATAGAACCCATCTTTTTTTTTTTTTTTTTTTTTTTTTCTGAAAGCCTAATGAAGAACCAAGATCATTTGGTAGCTACGTAGAGCACTGCAAACTATTGATTGAGAACGTGTATCTGACCAATTTTATTGCTGCTTCTACTTGCAAATTAATCACAAACCTACTGCAATTCATCTGATTCCTTTCAATTTATGAATCTATATTAAATTTGTATTCCACAGAAACTACTGCCATCCTGAAAAGATTTTCTGAGTGATATTTACAGCATTTGCTGATGTGACACAGTGCTCTGGCTGAGCAAGCAGATCTTGAGTAAGTAGAGGCTGAGGGAGACTTGGATCAGGCCTTCAACACCTTATGTTTGCAGAGAGTGACAAAAGAAAAAGTTAGTGGGACTTGGCATTGATGTTCCACTATGCTATGCATTTCTATTATTAAAGAGCAACAATCAGTTATAAAATTACTGTGGATCCATTCACACTCGTGTAGAACGTATGTTCCCATGATCTACAATGCAAAAGATGGGGCCAAGTAATTTGGGTTTTTTAGTCTGATTGCCTCCAAACCTCAGCTCAGGTCAGAGATTTTGTGTGGTTTTCCACACCAAAACGTGTACAGTCATGTGGGACAGAGAAGTATTTCATACATCAGCAAAATGCAAATTGAAGTTTTCTAATTTCTTGTTTTCAGACACCTGCTGTTCTTCACCACTACTGTTTTCGTAGATGTGATTCTGCTCATGGTGCAGGCGAGGAGTTCCACTGGACTTTAGGCTCAGACACTTCCCAAGTCCTCCCCAAATGCCAGGCAGATGGGGATACTGAAATACAGATTTCTGTGCCACAGTGAAAGAGAAAGAGGCCCTGGAGCCTTAAAGACAATAAAATAAAATTATGAAAATACATTTCTTCATTTCAATTCCACAGGAATTAAATGATCTACAGAAATTCCCTATGCAGTTTTCCTGCAGCAAATCTCCTAATGAAGCTGAGGAGCCAACCTCCCCCCAGCACCACCACAGCCTGCCAGTCTGGGGTGGTGCAGGGCTGTGATGAGCTTAGCGTGTAAGTCAGGCTTCAGAGCGTAGACCAAGCCACTGACATCCAGCTGCTGACCATAACTTAGCCACCAGTCAAGTGCTTTTCTTAGTGATGGACCACTACCTTATACAGCCTTCATTTTGAGGCATTTTTCAGGGGCATGTTAAGGTAGGTTATGATTTCAACACTGGTTACTTGGGTTTCTGTTTGATGTAGTTATCTTTTAGCAGTCTCAGATGGAATAAGCAGTAAGGAAAATACCCAAAATAGTCACTTAATCCATACTTTTTTTTGCATAATTAAGATGCCTAGATGTTGCATTATGTTGTCTTGGACAACCAGGAAGCGTGAGACAGAAATGCTTTGGCTGTCGTAAGGGGTGAAAAGAGAAGAATAGCCACTACAAGAACAAGGAAACAAAACAAACAGAAAACCAATTGAGACACCAGCTGATAGGGAGTTGTAATCCTTCTAAAATATAATCTTACCTGTTGTCCATCTCGCCTGTTCAAGTGACATGGTTCCTCCAGATACACCTCATTGGGCTAGTCTCAAGCAAGAGGCAGTCATCCTAGGATATTGTCACATCCATCTGATACAGAGGGAAGAGATATGAGAGCGCCTGGGACATCTTGGCAAGGAGAAGCAACAAAGAGCAGCAGCCTCTGAGAGAAGAGCTGCATCTATTGAAACTCCCCCTCTCATCCTCCCATCCTCCGGGCCCAGCTGGACTCAGCATCCCAACTGCTCTCCCATTCGGCTGGGGGACGCGGGAAGCACTACGGCTGGCAGCGCACCTGGCAGGCTCAGAGGGATCTGAGAATACCCTCAGGTTCACAGGCAATCAGAGTTTGCCAAATCATTTCAGCACATCTCTAATTGTCAGTGATCTCTATTAGCTCAGTAGTATGGCTTTGACATAAGGATGAACAGAAGGCTTGTTACTGGCTAGTGATAGGAGTGGAGCTTCTGGTCCAAGGAAGAAAAGCATCTTCCATGGCAGAAGGATAATCTTTTTTTCCTCTCCACATAGGCTACTCTGTATGGAAGGCAAAGTGACAAAAGACAAAGGGATCACTACACAGTGGACATCCTTCAGCTTCATCTTTTCCTTATGTCACATAGAACAAAGAAAAAGAATGAAAACAGCTTTATT